ATTTTGACCTTAGGCTTAGTCGTGACACCAGATTAAGTTCACTACAGTCCCCCCTTTGGAAATCATCACCTGTCCATGGGGATGAATTCCAACTATGAACTTACGTCTTCGATTGTCCTTGAAGCTTGAAGTAATCCAGCAAAGAAACAAGAGTCAAGAGTAATCCAGCAAGGAAAACAAAAAGTCAAAAGTAATCCAGCAAGGAAAACAAAAGTCAAGGTAATTCCACAATGTTCTCGGTAATTCCATTGTGTTGATTATAATTCCACATCGTCTCGATAATTCCATTGTAGCAATGCTTTAACCCCTTGAAAACAGAGTCTGTAATCCACTGGAAAAAGTCATATAATCCACAATGGTAAATCCACAACGATTGGAAGTGTTGATTAATCAGCATACAGAGGGGTACCCTTGGATTGAACTGAAGATGCGGCCACTGGATGAAGACGGAGACCAACGTCAGGATTGCAGGTCGCCTCCAGCGAAGGTCACTTCCAGCGACGTCCAGCCTGTGCCGTTCTGGTTCAATGTGTCATGCAATTATGTGGTTTAAGGTGGGCTTATGAAGGGGATTTTACATAAGGCCTTAAACTATATGCACCTGGTGTGTAAGCTATTATGGTTGGGAACAGCTACAACTACCAGTTAAGGGGTGGAGCATGCTGAAAAGGGGTAACTACAGGGGTTTATACCTATAGAAAAGGGTTCCAAACTATTTTTCCATTTCTAACTTGGCTTAAGTTAGCTTTACATGGCAAAATATAGTTTGGTTCACATGTCTGTTGTCTTTTAGACGAACGACTTGAGATTGGGTGTTTGGTTTCCCCATAAATGTTTTGGAAGTCTATGGCGAGACTTATCAAAAAGAATTAGCTATCCCCCCGAATAGAATTGTTCGAGTAGGTTCGGCTTAAGCGTTGTGAGATCAATGTAGATTATGGTACTTAGGGTAGCAATAATACACATTGACTCCGCAAGGATTGCAATTTAGCGAATGAACTGCATGTTGGCATGGTTAAAGTCCTCTTAGTCTCTAACTTACTACACAACAAGATTCATTCTTACCTCAGAAACAACCAAAATCAATTCAACAACGTTCCAACACCGACAAGAGTAGTGACTAAGCATCTAGAAACATCGTTTCACTGCTTCCCCTCACCCTGGTTGCCAGTTTCAGTCACGCTGTCCCGTTTGATCAAGGGTAGGTCCTGTGAGTTTAAACTATGGTTAAGTTTATTATCCATTAGTTTTCTTCTGCTTGGATGACCCTTATTCCCACAAGGTCAGATTTTGTGAGATCTGTGTCTCCTGAGGAGTTATTGCACGCCTTGTGTTGTTTAATCTGGTTACGATGTACCCATTTAACAGTTGGCTCTTTTTGGCCTTTACTGATTTTTATCTGGTAGACAACTGGAGACACTTTGTCGATTATCAGATGGGGTCCAGTCCATCTAGGCATCAGCTTACGGGCGAGAGTTCCGGTCCCGGACTCTACTCTCCCAGTTTTGGGGGCAAACGTGTAGTACCAGACCCTGTCTCCCACTTGGAGTTCCTCGTGAGAGGCCTTTTGGTCGTAGTACGCTTTGCGTCCTTCAGCTGATTTTTCCAGGTTTTTCTGTGCAAAAGCAAAAGTGTTTTTAAGGTGTCTTTCCAAGTCTTTCATGTATTGTTGTGTAGTGTAGGCTGTTGCCATGGCAGCATCGCCTGGTTGGTACAACAGGTGTAGAGGGAGAGTCATTTGTCGACCCGTCATCATCTCGAAAGGAGAGATGCCAGTCGACGTGTGTGGAGTGGCCCTTATGGCCATGAGGACCAGAGGGAGTTTCACGTCCAAGTCCTTGTGGTTTGCGGCTACGTATTTTTTCAGAATACTCACCACAGTCCTGTTTGCTCTCTCAACCTGACCTGAAGCCTGTGGGTGGTAGCCAATATGGAAGTTGGCTTTGACGCCTAGCGTCTTCCACAGTTCCTTCATTACTTCACCTGTGAAGTGTGTACCTTGGTCTGAGTTCACCCTGAGGGGAAGTCCAAACC